GGGTGTCCCAATTTAACCCACACATAAAAGGCTTGTAGTACATAAATGTGGGCGTGTTTCAAAACATAAGGAAGAGGTGTACCATTCAATCAAAAAATCCACAGAATAGTTTAGTCCTCACTGTTATTAATTCATCAAAGCGTGTGTAAATCCATCAAAATGGAATAATTATTAAGGTGAGGAGCTACTGATGAGCTACATGAAAACTATCCTTAGAACACATCTTCAATAATCACAAGATGTGTTGGCTTATTAAACCCTAAACCTTGAAGACTTCATGGATTTTAATATATGCTACAGATCAATTATCAAGAGGATTATAAAAATGTTAGTAATTTGTTTACAACCATAGCAATACAGGCTAGTGATCAGTCTAAAGTGCGGAAACATGTAAGTATGATGTTAAATAGAAGTAAAAACTATTAAATTCAATGAATACAAAATTATTTTAAAATGCTGAAACATAAAGTAAATAAAGAAATAAAGTTACATGTAGCTAACACCACACTGGAAAAAAAAAACGTAAATGTTAAATAGAAACTGAGAAATAAAAAATGAATTCTAACCACATAAACAAAGTGGGAGGAAAAAATTCAAAATTGATACACGCAATGATGCAGTATATTAATTCTGAATCAAAAAATCAAAATGTGTTATGTGGAAATACTGGCAAGCAACGAGTAACAAAAATAGAAATCTATTCTATTCTATTCTATTCAGAAACTAAACAAACCATTGAAAGCATAAGAGACCAGTACAAAAATTGAATTTTCTTTTTGATATTTGTAAATATTTCTGATTGACAGAAAAAAAATGTACATGCTTTGAATTTTTGAGGTCAACATGCTCTTAGATGTGTTGAAAAAAATTACTACACCTGTCCGTTTTTTTGTTGGATCTTCAGGTATGAAGAAGATAAATGAAAGAGAAATGAAAAGATGAAGAAAGAATGCCAGGATAGAAAACATGATATGATGAAGATGTTGATGATGTTATACATTTATGAAGATTCTCACATACCATAGGTGAGAAATACTATGTATGTTCACAGTGTATTATATAATGGATATTAAAAACTCTGGAAATTGAAATGAAAGTTCTGAAAATAATTCTAGATCGTCATTTGTTGAGAAATTTATTTTGTCTGTGAAATGAGCCATTTATTTGAATCATAGCACAGAAGACTGTCTAAACAAAACTTTATGTTAACTGAAACCTTGAACTTGGTGATAAACTCTGCAAACCAAAACTCTTTTAACTGACCAATTAATTCTGCCACTCCGGTGTTCCATTTAGACAGGAGTTTACATTTGCATAACCAATGAATTAACTCCTCTATGAATATTATTAGCATATATTATGGAATGAACCATGCAGAAGGAAATATAGTAGATAATTCTTGAGGAAGTGACCATGAGAGAAATGGGATAGGATTATAAAGTTTCAGAAACGCAATGACATGTCAAACTGCATGCATTTCTAGTCAATACTATGATGCACTGAAAGAAGATGAAAACATGCATATAAGGATGCATACACCAACCCAGAAAAAAAGGCTTTGATTTTAAACTCCTTAATTACTACTAGAAATTTATGATTCTGACTCTATGGACAAGAAAACTTAGTTCAAATCAAACATCAGTTTGTAATACCGTGGAATGGAAAGCGAGACAATAGAGAATAAAACACTAGGAAGATAGAAAAAAAGAACACAGTTTATTATATGTCAGTACTATGAATAATATAGATTTACTAAACACAACAAACTTTGAAATAAAACCAAGCATGGTTTCAAAAGTCTGGTGAGCATAATATTGCAGTGTTGATACTACGAATCAGAAGATCAATTCTTAGACTTGGCTGTGCATAATGTGAAGACACAGAAATAAATGAAATTATTGTAAGAAAAATTACGAAGAGAGTTTGCATTGTAATAGAACATGTATGCATGCATTAATGAGACTCTACTGCACCTGTTTTATGTGGTTCTATAGAAAGACCGTTAGGTTAGCATGAAACAAATGGTACATTTAAAGCAGATGTGAGTGAGTTCTTACGGTGCAATAAGCAAGAAAATGCAGGAGGTTATGGTTACATGATGTGTTACTGCAAGATGTAAGAGTTGGTGCCAGCTATTGCCTTTTTCAACAGTGCACTTTCATTTCCTACTTTCACAAAATTCACCAGATGGGTCCCAGTGAAGTTTGTATTGACAGTTACTGTTTGCATGGGTTATGCAGAAAGCAGTAAGTCAAAATAGCAGCCATGGCTGAACTTTGTTTATGTGTGTGATTATTTAGGATCAACTGAGGGGCATGTACCAAAATTATTACAGCCAAATATTGGAGCACACATTCCTTGAACAGAGAACGTTTGTTCTCATATTAAGCACATGATTATCTGTGCATGAACCAAACATCTATCTTGAGTCAGTAACACAGATAAAAGAGAGTACAGTTATAAACTGGTGAATGAATAAAACACAAAATTTTACTTTTGAAGTACTGCATTTCTATCATTTCAAGTACATGTGTTTATTAAAGCATTTCTGCAGCAATAAAAGGGGCATGTGTGACTTTTTAAATAACTTTTTAACACAAATAAAAACAACTACCAGTAATTCAAAGCTGAGAAAGACAATACACACAGTGACCAAGGGAAGCAACTCTTCATAGAATGAGTCTATTTGGTTTGGTGAAGAATGTTGTACCCTGTGTGCAGTCTAACTAATCAGAACATTTGAATCTAACATTGTCATAAAAACAATTATTGAACATCTGTCATGATAACGCCATAAGATACAGCATGCCGTAATTTTGTGGTATTTTACAGGGTATTTTCATCCTACCATATTAGGAAATGCAAATTCCAAATATGTAATGATTACGCGCGTAAGCGTTCTCTATTATTAAAAACAAATATGGGCAGTCGCCACCAAGATTTGACCCTACCCATACAAAGAAGTTTGCTGATTCTGTTCTAAACTTTTTCGATTTTGGCATTTCCATGATGTATCCTTGGTAGGAAAAGATGTATAATAATAAGGTTATTAGGAGGATACCTCAAAGTATGCACTCAAACAGTACACCATCGCATTGACCTCTGCTTCGTGCATACTTTGAGATACATAACCTCATATTATGTTCTACCAAAGTCAGACGTCATAGTAAATATTGTTTAAATTTGCCTTACAAAGAGAATATGAATACAAGACCTATTTAAGACTTTTTATGGTGTGGAAACCAAATGAGATGATAACATATTCACATATTTATGGGTACATATCAGTCAAGTTTTTTACCCAGGCAATATTGCAATCTGTGAAACCAGAATACGGCAAGAATTTGTTGTTTGGGTGACGTGGTTATGTGATAATATTGTATGTAAAGACATTTTTACAGCACTGTGTACATCTTTAAAATTACAGTCTAGTACATGTACATTAAGAAGTTTTAATGAATGAGGCATGATTCTGTGAAGATTTACTAACAGCGCCATATTGTTTCATACATCAAACAGCAATATTGACAGGTAAATTGCTGACTGCTTTGCTTTGTGTGTCATGACATACATGTAGTTGAAAAGTTTTATCAAATTGATTCAAAACCAACGTCAACAGGAGTCATCAAACTAATACTGAGGGACATGAATTTAATTTATTTCATCGATTCCATAATAAAAATACTGTATGCAAAATAGCAATGTTATCCAAGCAAATTAAACATAATGTATGTACCGATGCAGCCTATCAGAACACAGATGATGATGTGTCTAATGCATGACATACATGTAATGCTAGTAAATGTGTGCATTACAGACACCCTCTTAAGCATGGTTTGATAATTACAATCACGCAATGATCTCAAAAGGCACACACAAGTCAACAACTTTGCTGCCATGTCGCTGTTTGGGTGTATATTGCAGTGACAGTAATTTGATTCAACAGTCCACACGGAATTAATTAAATAAAACTGTTACAAGACTTAAACATGAAATTCAAAATATCATGAAATCATGAGACCCAAAAAACTGAATCTATGCATTCAATTAGCTTACCTGCTTCAGCAATGGCTTTTTGGTCCAATTTACTGAGAGGAATACCAGCCGGGGTGGTTTGGGTACAATCTAATATTGACAGCAATGTCTTAGTGAGTCTCAATAGATCACTAAAGCTATAAAACCCAAAATATATCAAGTGTTTGGCAAGATTCACAACCTGCAATTAACAAAATACATGATTATTGCATTTACCGTTATGGTAGTATAACCACATTAATGAACACACAGGTGTGCATAAGATCTAAGATTCACTCTAACAAAGATTGATTTTTCAAACAGGCTGTGACTGAATTTGAGAATAATTTTAGCAACACAGGTTTGGTCTGTATCTTACAAAATCAGGAAGAAATCTTTCATTTGAAACTAGCTAAACACAGTGGCAGTCATCACCAAAGTTGTCATTACTTGGTTGATACATTATTGAATACACACCCACAACAGTCGTTTCTGAGACTGCTTACCTATTTTTTTTAAATAACAAATTTTTGATGAATACAAGCAATTTATTTATTTGGTTGAACTGCAATATGATAATTAAACAATAGTCTCACCACATACCTCAAAAGTGAGTTTATTTTGTTCCTTATCAGCAAAAGACCAACTTGACCCAACCACATTACACAGATAGTCCTCAACAAACATGATGGTTTGATGAAATTTAGGTTTAACTTCGTCCTTGGCTTGATTTGGACCAGTCTGAGTATTGGAGTCGTAACTGTGGAAATAAGATATATCATGAATGAGGACGATCTGAAATCTAATTATAGATTCCAAGCAAGTTTATGAAAGACCATGCAATGTTAGAATTAAGACAGAAAGAGGTAACAGATATAAGTATTATAAACACAATGACTCTGTCGCTGTTGTGAAAGTTTACCATTGAATAAACATTGCCACACCAAACTAAAATATAGGGTTGTAATATTTTATGGAACATGGTGTTTATGGGTCCTGTGTTAATACAGTCTGAGAGAGAATGAATTTTGCTGCATCTAAAGGGTATATTGACTAATACTATACTTGTTAAATTCCCTTAATTTGGGCAGAAGAGAAAAATGGTTCGGTGATGTCTCATCAGTTTTATAATTATGTTTTCCTTTGATGCATACATTTTCCCAAATACATTGTCTGTGAAGAGTGTTTTCAAACAAAATAAAATATAAGATGAAATATCACAACACACCATGCCACACCACACAAGGTCATCGCCTTTCAAATATCAACATTTTTTATTTTTTAAGAACATCGATAGACAATTTTGTTGGTAAGATACACATCTAAATTACAAAAATATGACCAGTTCAGGATGTCATAATAAACGTATGAGTTACATCTGTTTTAAGTATTGTTGGTGCACCATTAATTGGTGACCAATCTAGTGTCTAATGGCAACACCTATGTTGGTGCAGCATTGGTAACCATTTTATTCTATAATGATAGACAGAGGCCTTGGTGACCATTCTATTCCATTGGTGACCAAGTTTAATGATTCAGACAGCCATGTTGGTGCAGCATTGGTGAGCATTTTATTCTATATTGGAGGAGAAGCACTGGTGACCATTGTTTTCCATAATGGAGGTGCACCAGCGGTGGCCAAGCTAGTCAACAATGGAGACACCCATGTTGGTGCAGAATTGGTGACCATTTTATTCAATATTGGAGGGGAAGCACTGGTGACCATTGTTTTCCATAATGGAGGTGCACCAATGGTGGCCAAGCTAGTCAACAATGGAGACACCCATGTTGCTGCAGAATTGGTGATCATTTTATTCTATATTAGAGGGGAAGCACTGGTGACCATTGTTTTCCATAATAGAGGTGCACCAATGGTGGCCAAGCTAGTCAACAATGGAGACACCCATGTTGGTGCAGAATTGGTGACCATTTTATTCAATATTGGAGGGGAAGCACTGGTGACCATTGTTTTCCATAATGGAGGTGCACCAATGGTGGCCAAGCTAGTCAACAATGGAGACACCCATGTTGCTGCAGAATTAGTGACCATTTTATTCTATATTGGAGGAGAAGCACTGGTGACCATTGTTTTCCATAATGGAGGTGCACCAATGGTGGCCAAGCTAGTCAACAATGGAGACACCCATGTTGCTGCAGAATTGGTGATCATTTTATTCAATATTGGAGGGGGAGCACTGGTGATCATTGTTTTCCATAATGGAGGTGCACCAGCGGTGGCCAAGCTAGTCAACAATGGAGACACCCATGTTGGTGCAGAATTGGTGACCATTTTATTCAATATTGGAGGGGAAGCACTGGTGACCATTGTTTTCCATAATGGAGGTGCACCAATGGTGGCCAAGCTAGTCAACAATGGAGACACCCATGTTGCTGCAGAATTGGTGATCATTTTATTCTATATTAGAGGGGAAGCACTGGTGACCATTGTTTTCCATAATAGAGGTGCACCAATGGTGGCCAAGCTAGTCAACAATGGAGACACCCATGTTGGTGCAGAATTGGTGACCATTTTATTCTATATTAGAGGGGAAGCGCTGGTGACCATTGTTTTCCATAATGGAGGTGCACCAATGGTGGCCAAGCTAGTCAACAATGCATGGAGACACCCATGTTGGTACTGCATTAGTGACCATTCTATACTATATTAGAGGTATTGGAGGGATAGTGCTGGTACCCATTGTTTTTTCCATAAAAGAGATGGACCACTGGTGGCCAAGCTAGTCCCTAATAGAGGCACCCAATTTGGTCGAGCAAGGTGAAGAATCCACACTGAAAAATTATGTAAAGCTGCTGAAGACAGAGGGTCTGAGGTAAACTGGATGTGAATTGAGAAGATCTGAGGTAAACTGAATGTGGGAAACAAACGGGTTTTAGCATGCTTAAGTTGACAAAGAAATGATTAAATAACAAATGACAAAATTGTAAACTAGATTTATGAGTCATGTCATGTCAATATTAAAACTGTCTTTAATAGAAAATGATTGGGTAAAGCGAGTGTGAAAAAAAGCATTCACTGAAATAGAGTTCAGAATAGAAGATATCTTACATATCAGCAAATAAATTTCTTTGATATTTGGAGTATCTGTGAAAGATGTGATTGGTATAAAAAAAAAACTTATCAGGTTTCAAAATGGTAAAAAAAATGACAGAAAAAAAAGACAAGTATTCAGAGAAAATGCATGGGTCATCAGAAAAACTAGGTGAGAAATCACTGTTCAGTTTCGTTGAGAAAATAATTCATACTGGAGAAAATAATTGTAAACAAACATACCTGTTCCCATGGTAAGAGTTTCAACCATCTTGGAATTTAGTGTCAATTATTATCAAAATTCCAATGTCACTTTTCAACATTGGTGAGATTTATTCATCAAAACAAGTTTCTCAGACAAATATATAAATTGAATCAAAGAAACTAATATACATACTCATCAATGGTTATCTTAGAAGGTATTTCTGACCATAATCTGGCATATTTGACTGGAGTAACTTGTTCTTGGGGATCTCTGTCAACATGCATGTGTAGCATGAGTCTTGTAAACGATGCTCTCAGATCATAGAGTAATAATTCATCCGACATACAACGTAGGATTAAATCAGTATCAAGCTGGGGTGAAATACTGTTAATGGCTAAATATTGGCGATCTAAACACATACGAGAGAATAAATCCAGTTGGTATCTGAAAATGAAATAGTTAAATAGATGTCACTGAGGTCCATTCTTGAATCTGCTCATAAAAGAAATGTTAAGATAGTCAGCATTTGATACAATACTGCAGTTTAACCAGCAAAGTTGAGTAACTTCAGAAAGCTTTTGAAAAATATCATGAGATGGTAATGAGAGAACATGACATTAACTTGTTGGCAATATCTTGCATACATCCAACGTGGTTTTTTTTTAATTTCTCAAATAATACCCTCTGTGACAAGTGCTATTTTAAAGCGGGGTGTCATAACCTGCACATGCGTCAGGAGGCCATTGTTTACAAACAAGCATCTACCCATGAGCCTTTGGGTTCTTAGTGTGTGTTGTTATCATCGTTTGGGACTCATTTCCCATGTGTGCGCAGGTGACGACCCCATCACTTTAATTCCTAGCTGTTTACCTGTAGTACATGAGTATATCAGAATCTTCTTTGATGTTTTCAGCTGCACCTAGTGCTAAGTCGCGTATTCCTTTATTCTTATAACTGTTGTCCCAGAACAGAATCACTTCCTCCTCTTCTTCAATAGTCACTATTGGTTCCATCTCCTCTGAGTCCCCATCACCTTCAACTTCAACTTCAACCTCAACTTGAGTACGAACCAGTCTGTGAATAAAAGATACATACAATATTATGCTAATGTTTCCTTACCACTGTCCATTTGTCTGGGTACAATGATACTGTACCCAAGAACATCACTTATGGATAAAATAAGATCAGTGTTTTTGTTTCAGGTTTGGGACATTTAAAGCTCTGACAAAACAGGTGATAATACCCACCTTGTTTCAATAAGAATATCTTGATTTTTAGCACTGAGTACAGCTTTACAAATTAGTTCTTGAGTTACTGGTATAGCTTGACTGTTGGAAACGCAGAGATCAGACAGATAATCAAGAAACCTGGAAATAAATATAAATAAATATTTCAACACAAAATAGATATAAGCAATAAATAAGTGTTTGTAAACCATGGTTAGACAGCATGTACACTGTGTGTAAACCATGGTTAGACAGCATGTACACTGTGTGTAAACCATGGTTAGACAGCATGTACACTGTGTGTAAACCAAGGTTAGACAGCATGTACACTGTGTGTAAACCATGGTTAGACAGCATGTACACTGTGTGTAAACCATGGTTAGACAGCATGTACACTGTGTGTAAACCATGGTTAGACAGTATGTACACTGTGTGTAAACCATGGTTAGACAGCATGTACACTGTGTGTAAACCATGATTAGATAGCATGTACACTGTGTGTAAACCATGGTTAGACAGCATGTACACTGTGTGTAAACCATGGTTAGACAGCATGTACACTGTGTGTAAACCATGGTTAGACAGCATGTACACTATGTGTAAACCATGGTTAGACAGCATGTACACTGTGTGTAAACCATGGTTAGACAGCATGTACACTGTGTGTAAACCATGGTTAGACAGCATGTACACTGTGTGTAAACCATGGTTAGACAGCATGTACACTGTGTGTAAACCATGGTTAGACAGCATGTACACTGTGTGTAAACCATGGTTAGACAGTATGTACACTGTGTGTAAACCATGGTTAGACAGCATGTACACTGTGTGTAAACCATGGTTAGACAGCATGTACGCGCACTATGTGTTCAACAACTGTAATATAAGAAATTATGTTTGAAATGAAAAATTAATAATTCCATATTTAGTAGTTCTAATAATTAATTCTACAAATGAGAATTTAACAACAACAAAAAGTTAACAGCACATGCAGCAACATATACAATGATTTGTTCACACAAATGAAAGGTCAGGCAAGGATATGATTGCCACTTCATTATTATATGTACCTCAATATGTAAGGGAATGAGGTTTTATAACCAGATGGTTTCCTATGAGTTAGGAATGACAGTAATTTGCTTGAATTTCAACAATGAATTAAACCTAAATTGCTAAATTAAAACCATAATACATATACATGTACTGTGCCTTATAATGGATCACCAAATCTATACTGTTATCATAGATGTGCTGATGTTATTGTCAAAAGTGATTAATTTACTGGAACTTGGGATAACAAAAGAAAAGATGGGTGGATAGTACAAGATAAAGGTAGTATTGATAAAACCCTGATTTGCAGACTGATCTGTGACACCTGTCCTATTGGTGAAACCCTGATTTGACAGACTGATCTGTGACACCTGTCCTATTGGTGAAACCCTGATTTGACAGACTGATCTGTGACACCTGTCCTATTGGTGAAACCCTGATTTGACAGACTGATCTGTGATACCTGCCCTCTTGGTAAAACCCTGATTTGTCGGACTAATCTGTTGTACCCATCCATTTGTAAAAACCTGATTGGACAGACTGATCTGTGATACCTGCCCTCTTGGTAAAACCCTGATTTGACAAACTAATCTGTGGCACCTTTCCTATTGGCAAAACCCTGATTTGACAAACTAATCTGTGACACCCATCCTATTGGTAAAACCCTGATTTGACAGACTGATCTGTGACACCTGTCCTATTGGTAAAACCCTGATTTGACAGACTAATCTGTGACGCCTATCCTATTGGCAAAACCCTGATTTGACAGACTAATCTGTGACACCTGTCCTATTCGTAAAACCCTGATTTGACAGACTAATCTGTGACACCTGTCCTATTGGCAAAACCCTGATTTGACAGACTAATCTGTGACACCTGTCCTATTCGTAAAACCCTGATTTGACAGACTAATCTGTGACACCTGTCCTATTGGCAAAACCCTGATTTGACAGACTAATCTGTGACACCCATCCATTTGTAAAAACCTGGTTTGACAGATTGATCTGTGACACCATTCCTATTAGTAAAACCCTGATTTGACAGACTGATTTGTGACACCCGTCCTATTGATAAAACCCTGATATGACAGACTGATTCATAACAAAAAAGATGGTTAGTAAATTAGTAATATTTGATAAATTTGGAAAGTGAATTGTCACACCTGTAGTCGCCAGACCGAATACTTGTCAGACTGGTGCTGGTTCTGTGAATAAAACATGATGATTTAAGAAATCAGCAGAAATGAACGTGACAACAAAGGGTAGGTGTAAGGGTAAAAGGGTAGGGGGGGTAAACAAGATTCATGTGGCTTCTACAAAAAAACATGGGAAAACACAAAGGGATAATTAACATTAAATAAATTGTACAGGGAATTCAGAAATATAATATTACAATGTGCGAGCAGATTATATTTGTAACTGTCACCATGTGCACATAACCTCATAAGGAAATTCCCATAAATCTGAATGAGAAGAAAGTCAGTGAAAGTGGACAAATATACAGCTTATCTTGTGCTGATTTGTAACAGTCATCCAAATTTGGTCACCTAATTCTTGGACTGATCAGATCACATAAGTTCAACAACCTGTTAATGAAACCACTAGCAAATGGGATTGATAATGCCACGGTACATAGCTCCATTGGTATGGTATTAATGTGTGTTCCAAAACTTTGAACAAACTAAGGACAGAAAAAATGATGGACATCACAAGCCCAAGTCATGTTCTGTAACTTTCTGAACTTTTTTGATGTAAACAACACACATCTGAACAACAACTTGCTGTTTAATGAACCATCTTACAAGTGTTGTTAAAATTAATGCATCCAAATTGACCATTTAAATAATATCAGATTGCATGTTGTATTTTATTGTATTATTAAACAGCCATTACTTACATGTATTGTACTCTATTCTCACAAAAAAGTTTCTCAGTGAAATTGGACTATTTGAGAAAAATTTCTTTTATTTCATGGATTTTGTATTCAAACACACCTGATTTAATTTGTTTTGAGATGAAATGGCTTAACAGTTGGTCTGGGGATTTATTATGTTAATAATTCATTGTTCACTCTGAAATGGATGTAATCTTCAAATCAGTGTGATTCTAATTTTGTTTTAGAGCATATTAAATTCAGGAAAAATATTGTAAGAATGTATAAAAAAGTAATTTGTTTGAAATATCTTCATTGATGCAGTAGTATCTCAGCAATAATTTTCCACAGTTTTATTAAGACCAATAAATTGCTATACTGTAAAATACTGTAGCTGGAATTAATTTTCACTGAAAAGACTTTTTTGTTGTTTTTCATGAAGTTTACAATTGAATTGATTTTTGATGAATTGAAAGTTAAATGTAGGAAAACAAATTTTATTTTCACCATTTTAGCCAGTCAGCTAAAATAATGAATTCCAAGTGTGAATAAAGTAATTTCACAATCAGTCAAGGGAAAACTCAGTAAATGTTGAAGAGTGAAAAATGTCACTGGTCTCAGCAAACACTATCAAATTGTACAAACTGCCCACCATACAGTGTGCAAGTAATTATTCTCAATACTGCCACAAGATGGCGCTCTCTTTAAGAAGAATCACACTTCCTTAAATTCAGGATGGCTGCTTTTCTACTTTTCAATTTAAATGGGTCAAATTATCAAAAATACAGAATGAAAATTGCTTCTCATGCTGCAATATGCAGCACTTTATATTGTTACACATGTGGTGTTAGAAAGACAGATACTCAATCTAACATCACAAAGTAACTAGACACCGACCTGCACTCTTTGCTTTTTCTCACAAGACTGACAAATGTCTCAATTTCCGCTGACGTAATATGTTTTTCTAATAGTTTTCTATTGTTGTGCAATAAGGCAGTGATGGTATCTTCGGCTAAAACATCATATCCTATTTGTTTCTGCATAAAACCAAACTGTTTGGCAACATATTCCTATAATACAAACAAAAGTATTAACGTGAAAAGTCAGAACTCAATTTACAAAATGAGAGTAGGCAATGAAGATCTCATGTAAAGATAAACTTACAATTTCTAGAAATACTAAATGGAAATGATTGAATTAGTGAAAGAATTGTAGTATTTGTCTTGCACAGGTCATGCTAAACTGTCTCCTTCCTTATTCGCAAAACATATATTAAGTATGTTTTAAGCATGTATTAAGTATGTATTACGTATGTTTTAAGTATGTTTAAGCATGTATTAGGTATGTTTTAAGCATGTATTAAGTATGTTGTAAGCATGTATTAGGTATGTTGTAAGCATGTATTAAGCATGTTTTTCCTTTTGATGCGACTGGAATCCTGTTCATTTCAAAATTAAACATTTTCAAATGTTGACTGCAAGTTGTGATGCCAGCAATTTAAAATATGTTTGTTTGATGTGAGCATGGATCTTTATTGTATATCATCATACGAACTAGATACATACTACGAGATTTGGTGGTAAATGTGATAAAACCCAACAAAAAATTAATTTGTGAGTGAACACAGGAGATTTATAATCAAATTCTTGTATGCAGTCAGAAAATGAATGAATTGGGAAATGCCATGAAAACACAATGTGCATATCTTACTTGGTTTTTCCTATAATCTTGTTGAGATAATCTGATAATCCGATATGATAATCTAAACATGTGTCTGAGTGGTGCATGTCTTTGATCTGATAACTCATCCATTGTTAATACTGGTCCTTCACCGCCTTCATTGAAAGGTGCTTTAAGTAGTTTGAACACCTAAACAGATAAAGAGAACATGCATTTTACATTAAATTACAGCACACTGAATGATTCTTCAGGTAGCAACAGGAGTGAACAAGTTATTGATACACAGAACTTACGTTTTTAAGTATATCTTGTTCTCTAAGTAGTTTTTGTCGATCTCTGTTTGGATTTGTTATGACGACTGAGAGTGGGTCAGCTCCATTATTGGGCGCTTCAGCCACAAAGAATATAAGATCTGTTAATAACTGAGTAACAAATCTGTGAAAACAAAGATGAAAAAGTCAACAATATTACTCCCATTCCATGAGTTGCAAACAAAATTACTTATCCTCATATAAATCACAATCAATCTACTGAATTATTGAAATGCTCACAATCAATTTTAGACAAACCTTCTTTCATTCTGCGTGATAGATGATTTCTCCATCTTAGATGAAATTGATCCAAGCACTTTACTAGCATCATTAGCAAAGTCTAAATCTCGGACTTCACTGGCTGCAACTGGTACAATAGCAAAGGCTTCTTTGTCCTCTCTGATAGCTGCTGTGCCAATCTAATTATCAGTAGACAAAACAGTGTCAAATTAAATTATTTGAACCAGACATAAATAGATAGACATATTTAAAGCAATACAGTAATCATACAGGGCATGTTTGAATTTTTTGTAAACAATAAATGTATTTTACACCTGTTGTATGGGACCCACATCAACATAGCTTGACTGTGACACTTTAATCAATAATAGACAAAGAAAAGATTTATATATTGTTGGCCATAGTGATTAATACACAAACAAGAATTCAGCTACTGTATTTATTCTATTAGAAGCGCATCTCTAATAAAAGTGCAAATAAACCAAAAATTATTGCATGTCAGATCAATAAACTACCGGGGGTATAGAGCACTCTCATAAGCATATGTGGTACATACAGAGCAAGTAAAGTACTAACTTTACTAAATAGTTGAGTGCTGTAGTGATAACCCAAATGAGAGAATAGGTGCACATTAACAATTATAATTTAAAGTTATATCAACAGTTAGTGCATGTGTATGTAAAAAAAAATTCACTTTTTTACCTTCAGCATAACAGTTTTTTCTTCTCCTTTATCACAAGCTATCTGTGTACTATGTACCCATGTATTTGTACATAGATGACGAAGCCTCACATAGGAATTTCTGATGGAAAAAATAACCTGCATTATTATACATCTAACATTGCAAACAATAAAATTTACTGTTTTGTATAAAGTTGTATAAACATTCATTCTGAACTGTATCTGTTCAACACTCATTCAAATGTTGCCTTTATGGGATAAACTATGTCACCTATATTGACATATTCAAGGTCATGATGTCATGTTTCCTTTATTAACATTGGATGCACAAGTGCTAATGAAGTTTTCTCGTAAATGCAATGAAATACACTTTTTATATGTATATTTGTAATAAATGTCATCTATGCCCGGTAAAACACCCTGGGCTTATACTCGGGGATGCCATCAACTCGTTAAATGTCTAAAAACAGAGGGGTGGGCTTATACTCAGGAGAGGGCTTATACTTGGGGAAGTACGGTATTTGTAAACAGCTGAGAACCGGTTACAAAATGCCAGAAATGCTTGATTTTGATGAATTCCCAGCACAGAAATCGCCGCCATTTGGTCATCTTGAAACAAATTGATGTGCACATGTATAATATTATGTATGTATGATGTATGTGTGAAGTTTGAACGTAATCCGTCCAGGCATGTCTAAGATATAGGTCCGGAAGCATGCACACACGGACACACTCACACACAGGTCAATCCATAAGTCCCAGTTTTCCAATCGGGACTAATAATAAGGTTAACACAAAAATACACAAACAGTAAGACGTCCGCTATGCGGCGGTAGATATAATTAATTTACTATTTTTGTGAAAACTTTTGCTGAATTCTCGTGACAATCTCGTATTAGCAATCTATAATGGGGTAAGCTATGATGATGCTGTCAACGAGAAAAAAACATTGAAAATCTGTACACTATATTAATATAATTCAAAGAACGCCAAAATAAGTTTTTTAGTTCTATCAGAGACAAATGTTGAATTTTAATAAGTTTTAAAGACGGTAGTGCTACCATTACCTTGGCACCAGAGAGTCACCACGTTGTAACGTTGTAGCATCTAATTCAAATATAGAAGCAATATCATGGCCATGGGGTACTGGTACTAGTTGATATACAACACTACCATGTGGACCACGCAACTTTTCCCGGGTTGTATCAACTTGAGGATCATGATCAACCTAAATAAAATAAATAAAAATAAATTGACTTGTTTAACTTTTCTTATTCATTATTCACTGATTATTCAGTGATATAAACTTTCTCTTTGGTACAGAGAAAACCAAATGTGATTTATTTTATTTACCATACTGCCTCTATTGATTGAGTCAAGTTATAATTAAACGTTATTATTGTATACCAGTCAATGATCCAAAAAGATTGGTGTACGTTATGTCACACTTGACACACTGAACACCAAAGATGGCAGTAATGAAATTTGAATGTTTTGAAATTGTTCCCAGTTGTTAGAACAACAAGAGATGATTAAATGACTCCAGCAGGAGTACAATAAATGCGCCATTGTTCTCCCCTTCTTTCAAGCATAGCAGTTTTACCAAAATAAATACTCATACATTAATGATAATTAATATTTTAAAAAATGCAAATTATCCATAAAGCTGAGGATCATTGGTAAACCCCAAAACACATGCTGAGTGCAAGCAACCAACAAAGTTATGATGACAATGTTTTTGGTATTTAGCTGTAATGTTTAAGAGTTCTCTTTCATATTTTTTGTATGAAACCGATGTTATTTTGGTCGTGGCTATGAAAGCCAAGTGCTATTATGACTGATGTCAAACAAAATTACTCAAACACATAAAGAAACAAGAAACTTAGATTTCAATGAAAAATTCAGGTATGATCTGTTTTCAATGAAATGTTTGCAATAATAAAGTGAAACGGTAATACTTACTTCAGCAGCAAGATATTGTCCAGTAGCCAAGTGTTTAAATCTAAATAAACTATTCCAATGTCCAGCACCACCTCTACAAGGATCATGGTGTACAACCTACAATTATAATGATACAACTACTTTAAGAATAATAAAATTAATGATTTAAACAATGGAAATAAAAGTTTGATAATTAATTAAAAACAAATCGTATTTATGCATAATATATAAGATTTTATTATTATCCAAAATTTGATCCTTTTAGAAATGTAAAAGTTTATAACACAGCTCATCTAAACAGAAAATGTTATTTTATTTTTCTATCAAGATTTGTTATCACAGTAATAATTAATACAGCAACAGGTATCATGGTCATGCTGCAAATGTAAACTTAAAATATACTTAAGGAAGCCTTAGCGTGGCACTCTCTTTAAATTTCTACACAAGTGCGCCCTCTACAGGCAGAATGTACAAAACATTGGGTTCACTCACCTCTACCTCCCATAATGCTTTAGAACTGGTTGCTGAAGTAGCACTCTGTCTAGCAGTAACTCTTAAGTAAACAAATGATTTCTTCTTGTAATCATCGCAGGTTAAAAACTTTTCTTGTTCAGCATGAAACAGCCTTACTACATCTCCCTGCATTGGTGGAACAAAACAAATATACATGTACAGTGAAATACCAAATAAATGAATGTACAAGAATCTTCTTCATAGCAAGATCAAAGACTATGTGGTTTATTTTCAACCCCTGAAAAACACTCAATAGCTTGGTGAAAATCTCTACCATTGACTTCCATGATATGGAAGAAATGACTGGTTTAGCCCAAGAGGACATGTGATGGGTACATATGATCCTGAAAATGCTATAGATTTAACACTTTGGGGTAATTTACACTGTACCTTGAAGAGAAAATATAACAAAATTATAAAAGGTTTTCGTACAAAATTATGCTGGCTTTTATGCAACTAGAAACTAGAATTATGCTAGTAATAGCGACTAGAAACTAAAAGCAAGGCGCAAACATCAATGTTTTTAATGGCTCACAGAGAAAACGGCTTTCATCAGAGACTACACAAACCATATTGTTTGTACCGGTACATATCGAGTGTAATATTGACATAGCTAGGTTACTACGCTTGTGGTCAGAAATTACAAACATTAAGTTACCAAAACATGTCTATACAAGGCAGATTCATAAAATAAAATAACATCATAAAGTTTATAAATGTCAATAAAGCCATAAAGTTCTCTTTGACAAGTTAGCTTTTAACAGTTATTCATACCCCCCCCCCCCAAATTATGTTAAGAGTTCTGGCACTATCAGAGTGAAAACAAATGAAAAGACAAATAATATCAGCATTCCTTGCCTATCATAGGCCATCAATGTTGATGCTCATTGATGAAGTACTTCAACTCTCATCTTTTTAAAGACTGCTTCAGCATCACCATAGTAAATGATCAGATGAGCATTTATATGCCCATTCAGACCTAACCTGTCTGTGATCCAGTAATGAGACAGTGGTTTAACAAATCTATCTGAGCAGAATAATAGTACATCCCATAGATTTAACTAATCAATCAACTTCACAATCTCCACAACAGATGATATATGTGTAATATTATATGTTTACTTCACATGCCACAATGGGAAGTAAATCAATGAATTTATCACTTTCTGCTGAAATACCAGTAAAATAGTACAGATACCTCAATATACCGGTACAATACAATATGGTACTCTGTATCCATTTAGAAATTAGTTAAATTTTGGTTTTACTGGTTTCGGATATTGTCACAATTATTATTACATTTCAACTCTGGTCTCGACGAGACCTTCTTTTGAACCCAACTGATAAAGTGAATTATTTATTTGTTATCATCTCATAAAATAGTTCCAGGGCAGTAGTGCTATAAAAAGACAGCAAAGCCAGTGTCAACATTCCGCAACTTTTATCTTTGCATGTATACATTCAAGTCTGAACGATGTTATATGCAAAATGGTATCACGTATTTAAATAGTGGGATGAAACAATGGATGGAAGTGAAATAATTTTCAAATATTCATAAATGTGTGAGGCTGCATTCCATGGTTAATATAAATTATCTACAGAGTGAATATTTGTAAATACAGTGGAATGTCCACAACAGTCTGGAATTATTATTACTAATACTCTGCATACCCTCTGAGTGGACATCTGATAAAGCCATACACACAATATAGTTTTCTTAGGACTTACCATTAGAAATTGAAGGAGAGATGGAAGATTAGGAAAACAAAGATAAAAAGTGAAGAAAAACAATAATTTTTACAATATTTTCCGCCATCTTTCAACTCGGAATTTCTAATGCTCAATCTGTTTCAACTATAAAATGCAGATTTTTGCCAGTATGCTGTACACAAATCAAGAAGGATGTCTCATAAAACCGAGTGTCAAGCACATCTATTCTGATGTATTAGTGCAAGTACATATTCCAGTACGTGATTATCTGTTTATGTAGGCCACACAACAATGTACAATGTATGACAGCCAAACTGGAGTTCAAGCTGTCAGTCATCAAAGAAAAGCCATTGAATCCTACATTATATTGTCATTTGTCTATTTCAAGCTGTCAGTCATCAAAGAAAAGCCATTGAATCCTACATTATATTGTCATTTGTCTATTTCAAGCTGTCAGTCATCAATGAAAAGCCATTGAATCCGACATTATATTGTCATTTGTCTATTTCAAGCTGTCAGTCATCAAAGAAAAGCCATTGAATCCTACATTATATTGTCATTTGTCTATTTCAAGCTGTCAGTCATCAATGAAAAGCCATTGGATCCTACATTATATTGTCATTTGTCTATTTCAAGCTGTCAGTCATCAATGAAAAGCCATTGAATCCTACATTATATTGTCATTTGTCTATTTCAAGCTGTCAGTCATCAATGAAAAGCCATTGAATCCTACATTATATTGTCATTTGTCTATTTCAAGCTGTCAGTCATCAATGAAAAGCCATTGAATCCTACATTATATTGTCATTTGTCTATTTCAAGCTGTCAGTCATCAAAGAAAAGCCATTGAATCCTACATTATATTGTCATTTGTCTATTTCAAGCTGTCAGTCATCAATGAAAAGCCATTGAATCCTACATTATATTGTCATTTGTCTATTTCTGTACAAAACAAAATCTACTGCTGTCTGAATACAATATCTACTTTATACAAGTGTTCATTTACAAATATTAATCACCATAATTTTGACCCAATAATTCTGCCTAAAGATATTGTACTGCAATATTGTTATACCTACCCCTTTTAAAATCTCTTCTATGTCTTCTTTGTGTTCCATAAATAATGTAATTTTCCAGCATGTATTAGAATAGACTGCATTCACCTAGAATTATAACATTATTAATAGCTAATTTGGCATAATTTGTAACATAAAATAAAGATAACAGCATTATTTTTTTTATTTTGCAATATTCATTTTTGTTAAAAACCAAGTTTTACATTATTGGGATATACAATTTGTACATTCCATTTCATTGCATCATGAGGGAAATACATCTTATCATACAAATTGGCAAATATATTATTTAACTGGAATATCCTGACTATTTTGCATGCTTAGTCACATGATAGGGAATGAAACTTGTGCAGTACAGAGTGAAGATGAGATACTAAACTCCTGTACAAACTGAACTTTCAATGTATAAATGCCAAAGGTACATTATATAGAGCTTAACATACACACTCCAGAGCACTGACAAGATGATAAGACCCTGTACAAACAGAATTCCCAGCATAATCTATTTAGACATTGTATGTGTACAATAATGACAGCTACCTGCAGTTTAACTTGTGCTTGACATGTGCACTTGTTTTAAACCCTACTCAGTATTGGTATCCTGCAGAGGGTTCTTCCAACAAACTTCAAACGCACTGATATTCAATTACAATTTTATTTTTAAAACGGTATTTTACTTTTTAAACACCCCCTTTTTTTTTTCCATACCTCGGCACTCTAAGAGCTAATTACACTGTGTGGCTTATTGATAAATCTAATATAATTTGATGCAATAATTGGTAGTTGAAAGAATATATCACAATTCACCTGAGATCATTTGAAAAGCATTGTGGCCAATAGCATGGCAACAGCTCATAACACTGTCACCAGCTACTAGTGAATATACTTGCAATGCCTATATGTACATCTTTGATATACTGCGAGAAATAGTTGGTAATCATTTTAAATCAATTGGCAAGTCAAAAACCATGTGAAATTTATATAGAAAACAGAGTCAAAACCATCACACATTGTCGGACTATCAATATTATTCTAATGTCTAATTGGGAGAAATTGAATGGCATTCAAAAGTTAAATTGTTAAATTAGCATTAAATATAGACAATAATATTTCAATAATGACAAATAAAAGTGTGTAGAGCTCAGTTTGGCATAAAATATTAATTAATTAAGTGACAATTGATGACTGGCTCAAATAACAAAACATTATACAGTTTTGAACTGTGTTTAAAAAAATGAGATGCATCTTTTAAACCATACTTTTAAAAGAACTAATGGCAATCAAGACAACATGTCATGCACATATTTAAAGAAAGCATGTTATTACATGTACTAATTAAGGTAGACATGCAGTTTTTTTGGCTTGCTTTTTAATTGAGTAATTAGACAATGAAGACGGTATTATATATCCAACATGTTATATATTTTCTGAAAGCTTATTATACAAACTTTGTAAAACTTGTCTTTATTTTAAATATCCAGAAGGTGTTTTTGATTTTGGGTCAAAAATATGCTTTTTTGGGCAAAAGTGGTTCAAACAAAATTAGCTTAAAAACTTCAAGTCCGTTTGTGGGTAAAAATTACATCACTGGATACCTTGGTATACGACTAATTCAAATGTGTCCACTCATCTCTCTAACGGCTTTCAAAGTCGCACAGCATGACCTCAAAGTTCACTCTTTTCTATTTTTGCATAATTTAAATATCTATATTAATTGCAGACTTGTTATTTTTGTTCTACTCGCCGTAATAAACTGTCCGGATGCATTTTGAAGGGAGAGCATCTTGTCAATAATGTGTGAAAATTTCAAGGCAAATGGCCAAAGCGTCTATCAGCTATTTTAATTTAAAACCCAAGAATTCACCAAAAATAGAAGACGAGAAAAAGGCTCATTTGCATATTTGCGCATTAAACCGGGAATTACTGCTTTGTCATACTTCGTCAGACTTTCTAGACTATTGAAATTGAAAGTTAACGTATAGACATAGACATTTGATGTAAAATCGTTGAACCAGAACAACTGCTCTTCAATATATAAATCAGAAACACGTCATTTGTACCAGTGTTTTGATGGGGTCGGTAAAAACATGTGGCAATGCCCAGTAAATGTGACGTCATCTCATGAATTATTAAACAGGGGGCGGTCCTAAGAAGGTAACCTTCTATCACGACCAAAACATCATGACTTCTCTTCCATGTATTTTCAATAAAAAATCTACGAATATTTCAGAGCCTATGGTTTACAGTGAAGAGTACAAAGTGGGATATTAAATTATTTATCCTCGATGATTTTTATGTAGTGTTGAAAACCAACTCCAGGAAGCGAGCGCACAATAATGAATAATCGCGTAACCCTAGAATCAAAACGCGAGGCACAGAAGTTTTGTTCAGCGTTTCCAATTCCATTTTCCCCACTGCAACATATTTGTTAAAAGAAATATTTGAATTCTGTTCGTTTTTTAAGGAGGCAATTTGTTTTCCGATTTCGGTACGCACTATTCAGGGATTTTCTAAGACAGTCGCAGACAATCAGCTTATGGATGTACGTACAAAACATGCTGTTGTACTACTGATGACGGTCGCCTGCAAGAAGAGAGCTCCAGCACCTGTACCGAAAAAGTTCTCAAATTTAGACCGGTTTTAAATAATTAGTGTTGGAAATCTGACATATTTTTAGAGTGCAAAATTAAGGTGCATTTCCGAGTGGCCGAATTTTTTCAGAATGGAAATCAGCAAATGAAAAAAATGGGGATGCTAGACAGTGTGCTTCGTTAGTTTAAAAAACAAGCAGCCTATCGGCTGAGATAGCTCCGCTGTTAGAAATGCACATTTCAATTAAAGAACTGAAGACATCATCAGAAAATGAACAATATGTATAGTATCAAAGCAATCGGACTTACAGTTTTTAACAAGAAGTCGAAAATATCACTTTCTACCAAAAATGACCAAAATATTCACCAAAATTAGAGAATTGAAGATATCATCACGAAATGAACAAATCTGAGAAAGGTCTACATGTAGTATCTATATATGTAAAATCAAAGCAACTGAACTTTTGGTTTTAACAAGAAGTCGAAAATATCACTTTTTACCAA